GCTTCTGGTGCTGAAGTGTTGGCTTGGGTTTGGAATTCTTTTCCAGGTCAGCCTGAAACTCCCTTCTGCTCCAGACTTAATGGTACAGGCCCTGCTTCCACATTGCTAGATCCCCAAGAAGCCTAGGCGTCCCTGTGCAGCGACACCCCTTTGTATCAGTTCTGGTGGAGGTATCCTCTTCCCAGGCTGATGGCTTGTGTATGTGGCAGACCACCATCACTCCTGTGCTAGTAGGGGGGGGGCAGGGGTCTGCTGCAGCAGGTCAGTGTGGTGTCCTCAGGTCCCAAAGCCACCAAAGCCATGTCATCCTTGTGCACTGTTGTTGGATTTGGGGGGCTAGCTTTAAAGACACTGGGTGGGTTGTCAAAGCATTTTGTCTTCTTCCATCACAGTTTGTTGGGGGAGGGATGAGGACTTTTAGGTGAAAATCCTATTTTGGTGGTTGAGAGTCTTGGGTGTGGAGTGACATCAGGGTGATGGATACCCAGGTAGAGAAGGTGTGGCAAGAAGTTGAATGAGTGTGAGTGAGTGTGTGTGTGTGTGTGTGTGTGTTTCCAATTCAGCAACAGCCCTTTAAGGGTTCAGAAGTATACCTTGTCAACCCAAATCCATCAGCAGGGTGGTTCCATCCACAAAGATGAGTTGGGGCAGATAGGGTGAGAATGTTGTCCAATGAGCCCATTCTCAAGATTGCTAATTGGGTCTCAGCCATGGAAGGATAGATTCACCCAATGTTAATTTGTCTCCAGGAATATCAGGTTTTAATACAGAAATGACAGCTTGCCTGACAGAGGTGTTTTCCTGGACCACTTTTCCTCCATCCTGGTCACTTTTTGGATGTTCTCCTGAGCTCAGAGGTGTAGGGACCAGGAAAATCACTTCCCTCTCTTTTCTCTTCTCTTCCTGGAAGCCGTTGGTGCTGTTGTAGAGTTCAGGGAGTGGATAGTGTATTTTCCTCCTGTGAGACGGGCTGTATTTTGTCACAGGAAAGTGAGATGTAGACTCAGTAGGGTGGAAACCCTGCTACGGGTCCTTCTGAGCTAGTGTCCTCATCTGCTCCCACTCCATGGTCTTACCATGGAACCAGTTACTGGGGTTGCCACATGATTCATCCTACCCTCCGAAGAGTCATTCCTGAAGTACTACAAAATGGCATGAAGAAGGAAGCAACTTGGAGCAAAGAGAAAACCAGGAAGCTGATGTGGTCCTAGTGAGGTCTCCTAATGAGATTTCTGCGAGACTCCTTTCTGTGTACTTCAGTGCTTTGAATTTATGGAAAGGAAAGATTTCCATGAATACCTAAAAAGTGTTAGATAAGGATTTCAAAATGCTGCCTACCTTTTTTTTTGGTGATTCAGTACTACCAAGGAAATAAAGGAACACAAGGAGGATGCAAAACTTTCTTCAAGCCCAAGGTTGGATAAAGCATGCCCACATTTGCCCCCGTTCTTCACGGTTCACAGTGAACAGAGGGAAGGCTGAGATGGTTTTGTGAACTAGGGCACTGCAGACATGTCAGTGCAGGTGGTACAGTGAAAGCTGGAAAAGTCAGAGTGACTGGAAGAGTATGTTTGTACTTCATTTTGTTTTCTGCTCGGAGCTAGCAAACATTCCCTTCCTCATAGTACTGGTTAGTACTGTCAAAGACTAACAGCAGGGAAGTCTGTCTTGGCAGTCTATGAATTATCCATGCAATGAGACGCGTGCTTCTTTAGTTAACTTTTCTCCACTGGAAGCAAACTTCTTTTTTTCCCTCTTGTAAGTCTAGGGAAAAAAAAATATCCTAACCTCTCAGACAGCGACATTACTGTCACCTGCTTAAAACAGTATGACGTTCTTCAAGTCTTAGAATGCTCTCTAGGGCTCTCTGTTTTCCATGAAAGCATTTATTTCAGTCAAAATACTTCATGTTTCTCTCCACTCCGACACTTCACCAAAAAGGAGTTGCAACGGAATATAGCGATTCAAAACCACCTTGCGATTTTTTAAGGGAAGTAGTTCCTGTCTCAGATAAATAAACCTTCTTTGTCTCCTTGGGTTGTGCTAGGGGGCAGATGTGGCCCTGGGGGAGAGCTGGCTTCACAGCTATGCCAGGAGCCACTCGGGTCTTGGGAGACTGGAGCCTGCCTGGGGGTGGGGCTTTAGTGTGCCTCTGCCCGGAACTCTGAGCTGCCCCGTTGCATTTGCATGCTTCTGCCCTGAGGACAGGATCAGGCGCCCCTTCCCATCCCCCCTCCTGCCTTTTGCAGGCCTCATCTCAGAAGGCTGGGAGGTTACTTCATCACCCGCATGATGAAACTTTTGAATATTCGGACGTGGGCTCCTGGCTGGAGATGTCATGTCTTCCCCTCTGTTGTTAGTCCGGAGACAACACGGACTCCCTGGCTTACCTGTGTAGTCCCAGGGCGTCTCAGGTGCCGTGAGCGCTGCGTCTCCTGTCAGATGTGGTTGGAGAGAGACGAGGACAGCATGACCACTGGGCACCGTGCACTGCAGAGGTCAGCTGGCAAGGACAGCGGGGCGGCAGTGATGTGGCTGTGACTAGTTGTCAAGAGCGTGGAGGAAAAAAATCGGGAAAGAGGGGGAGGAAGTGGCAGGCGGGGTGGTGGAGCGGGGAGGACGGCGGAGCGAAGAGTCCTGTCATCCCTGATGAAATATTCAGTGCTGTCGGTGATGTTCCATTGGCTGTTTCCCCCACGGGGATGGATTTCTAGATCATTCTTCAGGCCCCTTGCAGGCGACTAGAGCACTTTGTTTAATAGATTGGCGGTGCTCATCAGGGACATCTGTGATGTATTACCAGTGGTTTAATGGTGGGGGACACCGGAAGGTCCACAGGTTTTATTGTGTGTCCACATCACACACGAATGTGTCCGTGTGCAAGGGAGCCCTCGCACCCAGGACGCACACGTCATCCCTGCCAAAAATGACTTTTGCAGGGAGCACGCCACCTTTTTAAGCCTATAGGACTCCAAAACTGCTGTATAGTAACAAGTTTGTGAGATTTTGGAAAGGAAACCACGGTAATGATGCCAGTTCTTATGATCATAAATAATCATAATTAACAGGACTGCTGTATATTTATGTTGGTTTGTTTTCAGACACTTTTCATTTTATTTTGAATTTTTTCATATTGTGTTGACTTGAAACACTTCTGTCTGTAGCGTGGCATGCTCTGCCGAACACTGAGAGCAGCAACATACTTTATTTGTCCTCTGAAACAGACCACAATAATGTGGGAACTTCTATCTGTTGGCAGGTTTGCAGAATGGCGATATTAGCCTCATTGCGATCGGTATATATTAGAGACAGAATCAGAAGCAGAGGCTCTGAGTGCTTCTTGCTGACTTCACTTATCTAGAATGCTGCCCCAGGAAGGCACGGACATATATTTTCCAGTTTAAAGTCTTGATAAGCTTGAGGGGGGTAACGTGATGATGAGTAATTACTCCACATCTGCAAATGTCTGATGGCTCACGGTTAAAAGGCTGAGCAGGGGGAAGGTAGCTCTCATTCTGACACTGAAAGAGGGGTTGTGGTCTGGGTCCCGAGTGATCCATAATCTATAACCCATACATTGATTCCAGAGGGAGCATTAAAAGAAATACTCAGAAGATATGTCGTCACCTGAGAGTGCGAACATGTTCTTGGGTTTAGAAAGTAGATATCATTACAGGAATCTGATGTCAATAAGCATGTGTTGGCTTTTCTGGAGGACAAAGCCATCCACAGTGAAGTAAATTTCCAGTTGCCAATTTTCCTCTTCCTTTCTTCCTTCCTTCCTTCCTT